GGGGGGCGGGGTCGCGGCTTCGCCTGGCGGCCGGAAGCGCTGCGCTGTGTCACTTACCGTCCCGCGCGGGCTCCTCGCGGAGGACAGCGCAGCCGTGCTGGGCGGCCTGCTCTCTGGCCTCCCCGGCGCTCTCGCCGGGCTGGCCGTCTGCCAGGTCTTTTCCCGTCGCACCGCTCCCCTCCTTCTCCTTCAGTTCCAGCTCAGAGAAGCGCATCATTGCACGCTACAAGCATACATAAAACGGCCGTGAAAAAAAAACACTACACGCCGAGCTCTTAGGCAAGCTGGCTGTTCTTTCCTGGCTAAGCCTCTCCATAGTACTTTAGTTTTACATCGCAAAATCTCTAAAGGCAAATGAAAAGAAGCAGCATTTCACATGACAGCAACAGTTACACCAAGAAAAAAAAACCTTTTCACTTTCATTCCATGCTCTCTCGGTTCTAGCTCAGCTCTTCTTTTTTTCCCCCGGAAATATACAATTTCTTAAATATGGCTAGCCTCTTTTATAGAAGTAAAAACAAAAAAGCAAAACTCCCTCCTGAGACTGACTTCAATCAACTGCATTAACCCTCTGCGAAACCATAATAAACCAGCAGCATTTTAATATTTAAATTTGTAATAAGAAATTTAAAGAACTGACCTCACAGTTAGCAGCAGGTTGACTTAAATTACTGTCCTCTTGTGATAAGACTTCCATCTAAGTAATTAAAATGGGTGCTCAATAGATCTTTCAATCATTTCAATCATAATGACACATCTTTAACATACAACAGCATACACCTTAGCCCTATTAAGACAGAATATTTCAGACACACGCAATTAATGAGCCTAAAACAAAACTACACATTTCTTACATCTAGTATGACTACAGACAGTTAGGGTTCTGCTTTTAGGCACCCTGTATCTAAGAGGAGCCTGCATCAAGAAGCAGCTAGAATATGAAGCATCATTCGTGTTTTTTTTTGCTTTGTAAAAAGATAGAAGCCCATCTCTGGTAATAGATCCGTAGGGCGGCAGGTGCATATTTTAAATACTAAAGAAAAAAAAATCTTTGATAGTTTTGTGCATAGGCTCTTCACATGCAAGCAAAAAAATACAAGACGTAGTATGAAACACTTCTGTGGTACATTTAAAAGTCTCTTCTACTGTATTTGAGCGTCTCGCGTCTGCCCAGGTAAACTACTAGAAAAGCACACCAACTGATGTTCAGACAGCTAGCATTTGCAGGCTGGCGAGCCCTTGCAGGGAATCTTGGGATTCGGACTGGATCGGGGGGAATGCGCCTACAGTTTGGACTACACGGTGCACAACGTAACAGGGCCACTGCCCAGACCTGGCCATCCCTAGTACAGGGAAGTCCGAAGTGGGCTTGCACAGGCTGATCTGGGGGGTGCCCTCTTGCCTGCCCCCCTCCAGCGGTATAAGCCCACAGGGCCAGGAGGGGCGCGCTGGGCGGCACGGAGACAGGCCCGGTGTTGCGTTAGCCCCTTTTGCCCCCCCTCCTGACTGACAGAACTCCCGCTTGGCGAAAGCTGCTCAACCGCAGCGCGCAGCAGCGGGGGAGGTGAGCGGATGCCAGCCAAGAGGATGTGAGGACTTGGCACGACTCCGCTTGCTGGCTGATCTGCAGGCACCACCAGCTACCTGCTCAGGGTCAGACTGCAGGAGCTGCTTTCTTCCCCCCCCCTTCAAGATCGGGCTTTTCTGAACATCACTTGGGTAGAATGGTAATGCCAGACACAGGCTTTTACTCATCATGCGTTCAGCACACAGAGAGGAAGAAAAGCCAAGTCACCTCTTCTGGGATAGGCTCTATAAGCCTGACCCCCCTCCCCAACCAACTACAATTTTTTCTCAGTTTCTTAAAATATAATACAATTATTTTTGGGTTAATTAATTGAGGGGTCCAGGGCAGAATAAAGGGCTTCAGGAACAGGAGTCAATGTCTCAGCTAGAAGACAGAACTAAGAATAGAATGTCTTTTTTCCCCAGAGCCGTGAGGGATATTGAAGCCATGTGATTATGGCATTACCAAGACAGGACCTCGGGTGTCAAGACAGACGGCGAGTGCCGGATCGGGCATCGCTTGGTCCACAAAGCATTTTGCGACTGTATTGCACAAAGCATTCCAGTGAGTAAACAGTGCAGAGCCCTGCTCCTCCTTCCCCCTCTCCCCTGCCAAGGCCCGCTGCTCACCTGCAGGGCGCGCTGCTCCCGGCTCAGCTTGCTGGAGTCCGCGTACAGCTCGGTGGTGACGCACTTGAACCGGTCGCCCACGTAGCCGGACGAGTTGGCGATCCTCTTGGCCAGGTTGGACTTCTTGGGCCTGGAGGAGCTGTGGCTGTCCTCCCCCTCCCCCTCCTCCTCCTCCTCTTGGGTCTCCACGTCCTCGTCCCTCCCCGCCTCCAGGGGCCGGGGGGCCGCGGGGCCCTGCCTCTCGCCTTTGAGCCCGGCCTCCTCCCCGGCCCTGTCCCCCGAGGTCCTGGCGCAGCGCAGCGTCTGCTGCTCCAGCAGTTCAGGGAGCGGGCAGGGCTGAGCGGGACTCCTCCGAGCCGGATCCTGCCTGGCAGGGAGGAACTCCCCACAGGGGCCATGATCCTGGAGCTTAGGAGGGCTACAGATCTCTGGCTGTCTCTCAGAATCGGCTGGCCTCGGCGCAAAAGTCTGATTTGAAAGAAGGAGCTGCTTCAGCTCGGGTTCTTTCCCTTCCCCGCTGCCCATCCTGCTGCCCTCACAGTCACCGCCGCCAAGGTGTCTCGGGGCGTCTCCTTTCCTGGAGATGGGGAAACAGTGTTTCGTGGTCAGGGAGCCTCCATCCGCGTCGTCCTGGAGCAAGTCAATGCAGACGATCTTCTCCTTGTCCATCGCCGGCGGCTTGCTCGGTGGTTTCGAACCCTGGCTAAGCCCCCTTTCGGCTTCCTTCTCTGGCTTGCAAACGGGATCGGCAGCTTCCATCGCGGGGCGGCTTTTGGGAACGGCCTCCTCGTTATGCCTGGGGCGATCCTGGGACCGGGACCTCCGCTCAAGCCTCTCGCTGGGTTTTGGGTCTAGAGTCAGGGGTGTCATCAGAGGATGGACCATCTCCTGAGAGTCATGGTAAGTGAGGAATTCCCGATGGCTGGATGACAGGCCGTAAGGGAGTCCGTGCTTCGGGGCCAAGTGGGCCGGGTAGAGGCTGCCACTGCCCAGCAGTACTGGATGTGGGTAAACGGGGCCTTTCGCTGCCAGAGGTAAGTGAGGAAGGGGCAGGCCCTCCGAGTACGACATATACCTGTTGGCATAAGCTAAGCTTGGAGGGAGGAAGGCCTCATTCTGTGGTAAATACAGGGGGGTTGTGGCGGGCCCATTGTCAAGATGCTGCTGCTGTGGTTTATGGGTAATGTCCTGGGTCTCCACTCTCTTGGGTGGCTTTGAGGCTTTTTGCCCAGAAGATGACTGGCTGCCAGCGTGGCTGGCTGGAGTTACTTTTTCTGGAAGGTTGGGATTTGCCTTGGGCCATTCACCGTTGACATTGGGAGAGGGGGAGGCAGAAGCTGGGCGACCCAAACCAGGTACCAAGGTGGGGGCAGGATTAGCAGCGGGGCTGTTGTTGGACTCCCCAATTCTGGGGCAGGAGGAACTACGCTGCTGGTGCATCACACGTTCCAGAGTCTTGTTCTTGATCACGGGGGGGGCGATGTTTTGGCTGGACTCAGGGGTAAGAGGGGTGTGGCCTGGCACAACCCAGGAGGAGTGCAAATTGCTGATTATTTCGGGCCTGTCGGGAGGTTTGGAAGAAGTGCCCACTGCAGAGAAGGACGGGGAGTCTTTGAGAAGATCCCGGCTGGGCAGCCCATACCGAGCTGTCGGGGACTGCCCCAGTTTGGCCATGCCTTCCAGTTTGGGGGAAAATCCATTGGGAGGGGCTCCAAAGCTTGCTATTTTGGCAGACAAATCCAAAGGCTTATCTGCCGGATCTTTGGTAGGGGCCTGGCTCGGTTGCTTCTCCGAGACAGTCTTACAGGGGGACTTGCTAGCTTTCCTCTCCCCTCCTCCACTTCTGTGCTCAGCTGACCCCTCCCGGGCTTTCGGCTTCTGGCCGGCCGGACGAGCCGGAGAAGGGTGCTCCGGGGCCAAGCCAGCCATGAAGGGGAAAGGAAGAGACACCGACTGGGAGGAGGAGGAGGAGGAAGAGGAACAAGAGGAGGAGGAAGAGGAAGTGGGAGGGCCTCTGGGTAGTGGCTTCTGGAAGTCCGGCGGACTTTCCATATGGCTGTGCGGAGGCGGCGCAGAGGGCTGATGGAGGCGGGGGGCTGTGCGCGGCGACTGCATTAGAAGGACCGAAGCCGAGTCCACCGAGTGGCCGCTGCTGCCACTGTTACTGCTGCTGCTCGGCCCCTTGCTGGAGGGCGCGCGGCTCTGCTTGCTGCTGCTGTGCTGCCGATCGCTGTGGGACTGATGATGCGCCTGCTGCTGCTGCTGCTGGGGCTGCTGCTGGTGGAGCTGCTGCCCGAAAGCGGACGGCTCGTGGTGGATCCTGGGGCCGATGCTCTGCATGCTCTTCTCCTGGCAGTGGACCAGCGGAGAGAGACTGGGGGCAACGGTGGCGGTGGGGATCCTCATGGGAGGTGCCAGCGAAGCGGTGATGGGGGAAGGAGGGTAAGGGGGCAGGTACAGAAATCGCTCGCTGCCCCCAGCGCTGCCGCCACCAGCACACACCGATTGATAGGCCAACGGCTGGGGTAAGTAAGGGGAATGCTGGGACATAAAAGAGGCCTTGTACATGCTAAGGGCATACTTTGTGGAATCCAGGAAAGGGTAGACTCCTGCCTCTGGGTAAGGGCTGGGGACCCAGGGGAGTCGTAAGTAACTTGTGCTGCCATTCAGGCCCAGTTCAGATTGCTTATCGGCAGGCCCCACCCGGCGGTCCAACCCCAGGGCCTCTGCCCCACCCCCAGGAACCATCATTGGTTTCTGCAGCCCAGGGGGCGGGCTCTTGTATAAGGTGCCGTAGCCATTGGGGTGCTTCCTGTTCTCCAGTGTGACCTCAGCGGGTTTGTAGTGCAGCTCCGGAATGCGATCGCTGACGTAGCCCAGAGGCATGCTGGATCCCTCCCTGGCCTTGTCCGCTGACAGCGCTCGGATGCCAGGGTACACCATCCCGCCGTGCACCCGAAGGCTCTCGCGCATCAGCGCGTTCCGGTCCATGCTGAGGGCCGCCAGAGTGTTCATCCTGCAGGCGGCGCCCGCGTCCACCTGCGGCAGGGAGCAGAGCAACACGGGCGGTCAGACGCAGGGCGGTGGCAGAGCCGGAGAGGAGGCCAGCGCCAATTTAACAGGGTGTGTGCGCCTCCCACGCGGTTCTACTGGGGGTTCATGACAGACCGTTTTTTTTTTAAAAGATGCTGCCAGCCAAGCAACACAGTTGAGCGAAGAATCGGAGGCGGCTGTTTAGACTGACAACAGGCGATAAGCCACGACACTGCTTTCATGTCAAACTGAGTGAATGACAGGAGCTGGGCGCACAGACCCAGTAAATGTGACCCCCAGACCTTGCAATCAGCCCTACGTCAGACAAAACAGAGTCTCTTAAAAGGACACAATCCAGTTTACAATGTCCAGGAAGTGAAACAGGGCATTGATTTTAGCAAAAAGGACCTGCTTTAAATACATCGGGGGCCCTCTCTTCCGACACAACGGTGTGGCTATCTAAAATATGCAGAAATTCACCAGTTAATAAGAAATGTTAATGTTTGCATGTTTCAGCGGTGTGTTTAATTCCTTTTTAAGAGTACTGCAAGTTCTTTATACATTCAAAATGCCCAAAGGCTATAATTCAACAAAGATCTATTACGTTGCTCTCTGCGCTGTCCTCTTTTTCTGCCGCATATAAAACAGAACTGCATGTACAGAAACAACAGATAAATCAATATATACACATATTTTAGAAGCTTATTTTCCAGGACCACCTAGTCCACACAAGCAAAAGAAAATGGTTGTGAGAAGAAAGTGTGCCTGCTTATGCTGAAGATAGTTTTGCTCTTTGCCAGAAGCTACTCAATAGTCATCCACAAAAGCTCTCTTTCCACGGAGGAAAAAAAAAAGAGAATAAAATTAAAGTTCTTACCATGCTGGGTGTAATGTGATTCTCTTCTCTTAATTCCAACCTATTTTTCTGGGGTTCCCCATCAGCTACAGGGACTTTCCTGCAAACAGTAAAATCTGCGTTAAGAGGCGAGAATCATAAGGCTGAATCTGTGGCTCTAGTCGTGCAAAACACCGCTAGGAAGATTAAAAATGTCCTGATGGCCCGTTGCGTTTCATAATCAAATCCACACATCCACATTACTTCTAGTAACAGAATTTAATCAAAATTATTATTCTAATATTGTTTTAATTATGTTCATTAACACTACCTCAAGGCCAGAGACGGAATTGTCATGCCTGTTCAAATGGACGTCTGAATATCTTATTTAGTATCAATAAATCATGTTGCCATTGAAAGCACACAAGTGGGTGCAATACGTAATGTAACATAATGCATCAGAACATCCAGTACCGTCTGGTCAGGTGCAGACGCACCTTTCAGAGCTTCTGCTTCACAGATACCATTTTCCAAACTGAAGGCCTGCTTCTGACCCCCAAACCAAAAAGTCCCAAAGAAAAAGGGCCTGACAGGCCAGTTTGCGCAGGATCGAGCGTGTGCGTGCACTATACACTGCCCCATTCAAATGTTCATTTACATCAGCTTTCACACGAAAAGAAAATCAGAAGGACTCGCTGCTTGGAGTTCTCCGACTACTCTGCGATCTTGCTGCGGTCTCCAACGTGTTTGCTCCAAGCAGAGATGAAAGAGCTCTGCCCCCAACGTCCTCTACCCCTTGAAAGCACTAAAAAAAAAAAAACCCTTGTAATTTCATACAAGGAACGGCTCGCATCAATCCGCCCAGGCACCGTACGCGCAGAAACACCGAGCGCCTGTGCACTGCGACGTGCTCGCTGCTACATAACGCGATCACTCCATTTTCCCCGACTGGTTGCAGCACTCCAGTGCGGGAACATCACATCTGCGCCTCTCCAGGGCCGTGCACTGGGACTTGTTATCACAGAATGAATGCACTGATAAGAAATACCTCGGCGGCAGATCTCATAATCCTGGGGCTAAAATGGCTGTCATCTGCCAGAAGGAAATTTTCATCATTACACACAAGAGCCAGATGCAATCACCTAGCGCTGCCTTTCAGCCCACGGCTGGGAAATGACATAATAGGAGCCGTCGTTAGGCTGCTATATGATGCTTCTCTTATTGATGTGTTTACGGGCCCAGGATTTCAATAATGCAGACCCAGCCTTATCTTTAGATAGCAGTGCTGCCACTGCAGGACGGATGGACAGGAAGCAGACCGTGGCTTCCACACCACCAAACCAGAGAGGGGCTCCACCCCCTCTCACAAATAAGGTCAGCAGGGCCCGGCTACCGTCGGGCTCTCTGGCATCAAACCCCCACTGAACGCCCCCTTCCTCCCTCTGCGCTGGAGTGCTGTGGATCGGCCTGCTGTTCCCACCACCCCCCCGGAGGTGAGCCTCTCATTGTGGAGAAGCGTTCCCCAGCCTCAATAACACTTCTCCTCCGTGGTCTCCTTGACCCTCTGCATTCAGCGTGCCAGCGAGGGAGAAGATTATATGCTTCAAATCTTCACGTGTCATTTGGGGTTCGGAGGGAGGGGGGGTGATCCCTCCCTTCAAAGCATTAGAGAGGCCCCCTTGAATCAAAACGAATTTTTGCTGTATTCGGAGGAAGGGTGAGAGGGGGCGTTTAACCACTACCTATTTAAGAGCATTTTAACGAAGGCAAGATTTTACGATTAGATTTTTTTTTTTTTTTTGCAAAGTCGTCACTCCTACTGGATAAAAATTTAATGACTTCCTCCGAATGGTTACAGGGTAAGGCATTGCAGCAAATCATCTGTCATATAATTGTCTGTCTGGAATACTGAGCACTGTGAATGCTACATCCCTCATCAGAACACCCCAGCTGCTGGATATTAAAACGAAAGGGGGGGGTGGAGAGAGAGTGCAGGCTTATGAGATCACCTTACTTGTGGAGTTGCAAGGCCAGAGCAGATAACGCTATCTGTGCCTAACTAGCCAAGGAGAACGTGCGTTTCAAAGAAAAAAAAAGCATTATTGAGGGCGGGCGGCATCTTAGTTCTAGGGTCCGTTTTGCCTGGGAAATTAAATAACAGAAACTACCTGAAAACACAAGAAGATCGTCACAAGTTCTGCTCAATATGCACCACATTGTAGAAAATACCCCCAGCAGACTCAAGCAAACTTCCCACCCATGTCTGGGTTTTTTTTTCCCCAGGGGTTTTAGAACTAGTCAAAGGTTAAGTCAGCTGAATGAGCTACAGCGAGTCCGATTTTTTGGGCCTATTGTTTTTGGGAAGACTCTGTAAAGGACACCATGCAGGATCACAGCTACCTATCTGAATGCATGGGAAGACAGGGGTAAAAGGCGGCACTCCAGGAGATAAATGCATCAGCTCCATTGCTTTCTCAAAACACGATGCATCTATTTCGGGTGGGAGGGGGGGGGGACCCCACTGGGATTTGTGAGCTCGTCCGGTTTTAAACGCGTCTACAAAATTTCCCTTTCCCCACAAGCACCAGTCCCAGCCCATCAGCTTGGGGCCTGCGCCGGGCGCAATCTTCCCAGATCCAAATGCCCCGCGACTCTCGGGACGAGCTGACCGACGTCGCGGCGCTGGCCGCGTCTGAACGCCGCTAGGACGGCCCCAGCCCCTCCTGGGAAGGATTTCTGCCAAGGGATGCGGCAGATTTGGCTGTTCAAGGGGTTAATCCGACAGCTCGAGCGCTGACCCACAAAGCAAAGGCAGATCAAAAAAAAAAAAAAGAGGCAGCAACTGATCCTGCATAGAGCTGTACGCCGCCTCTGCATGCTAACGGAGCAGAAAAATCTTTTTGAATCCAGGCATTTCCTCTCCTACGGCTCCAACAGACAGGCTTGGCTCCAAGAGTGAAGCGCTGTAAAAAGACGGGATTCACAAAGCACTGAACTTTACAGGCACCAGCCACCATGCCTCCACATGCCAAGCCAAACTGGGGAATTTGTAAAGTCTCCGTCACAAAACTGCAGAGGATTTCTAATCACCAGAGGCTATTATCTGATTGGTTGTCATTGTCGGTTTAAGTGAGTGAGTGAGTGTGTGTGTGGAGGGGTGGGGAGAGGGAGCGCGAGGTGGAAAAACAAGGAACGCAGTCCTTGTGGGAAAAGGATGTGCCTGTTCTGGAAAGCTGTTCCGCCGCTGCCGCCGCTACTGGCGGCTTTAAATCCCAGCATGCCACTTTTATTGCGCCGGCCTCGGGTCCATCAATCTCCTGCTCCTGGAGACGTTCCCATCCCTGTGAGGGCTCTGGCTCGAGCGCTGGCCCAGCCCGGAGGGGACTGAACCCTCGCTCTCCTCCGTCCGCAAGCTGTCGCTGCGGCGGAGGCAGGGGCGAGCGGCGGGCGGGGGCAGTTTTAATAGTATAAGGAATGTTATTGGGGGACGGGGCGGGCGGGGGGGGGGGACGGGGGGGCCCGAGAAACTGCTCTTGTATTCGCCCGCCCACACCCTGTCCTCCTAGTAAGGTCACCCCTTTTGTCCTTGCTTCGCTGCCGATTGCGATTCAGCAGGCGACGAGCCCGGGCGTACTGCAGGCCTGCTCGATCTCAGCATTTTAATTCCGCCTCGCTGCAGCTAATCGCAGGTGAGGGCTCTGGAAACCTGCGCTCGGCTGAGGTGCTGCTCTCCCGCTCCCTGATATCTGTCAATGGATCCCAGCGCAGTGAGGACAAAGGACAAAGTTCAGCCACACCACCCCGGGTGTTGCACAACAATCAGGGCAGAAGCAACAACTACAGCGGCTCTCGGTGTCCAGTTCCTCTCAGGCCAAACCCCCCCCCGATTACTCAAGGGGGCTTTGGCAAGTCTGTACCCTGGTGTGGAATCAAACAAGCTTCCAGTAAAAGAGACCCATCGACTCCAGACAGCCAGCGGACGGCAATGCAAAACAGGGAGGCCTGTTCAGGTTTAGTCCCATTTCATATCAAAGCTATATTAAGAATTGTGCAAAGAGTAAGAGACTGGGTGAATACTGAAGCAAATGTTTATCGGTTCCTTAACAGCAGTATAGCAGCCTTAAAGACGTCATGTCTCCATGAGAAAGTGAGAACAATCATGCATTGCTGCAGTGATCACGGGTCACTGTTTCCCGTTCTGAACGAGGGTCTGCACCCAGACAGACTAATTTAACTCTTCACTTCCTGTTTCTGTGGGGGGTGAAAAAGAACCTCTCTTCCTGCGCCCTCTGGGACTTTCTGTGTGAAGCTGTGCTTGGATTCTCCCAACGTTCTGTTAATATTAAAGTTCATAATCTGGACTTCAAGATCAGATTTGATTACACGGGCTGACCAACTGCAAAAACCGCATTGAGTGCGATCCGTACAGCAGGTGGTGTACCCCTGGATCCAGAACCCAACCCAACCCAACTGGCAGCACCAAAACATAGATGCTACATGTGAACAGTTTAACAGACATTTCACAGATGACCTGAAGAAAAAAAAAAGCACATTCCTACATCTAGAAGGCATCTTCTAGTACTTGAGAACTGTGCCACTGTAACTGAACTCTTTAACTTGCCAGCCCTCCAATCCACTTCAATACAGCACTTTGATGCAGCTAGCTCCTTAATTGTTATATCGATTTCCAATTATCAATTAACTCATTAAGAAACTGGTTGCAGCAAAATCCTGTAATGGAAGGGTCAAGTTATGTTGCACTGCGCTGTACTGCATACTACGGAGAATACAGTCTTCAATGTATCGATAGCTAGGCTAGTGACATTGCTTTCTCAACAGCTATAGAGTTCACCTCAAGGATTACTTTTTGTTGTGCGTTTGTCGTACGAAACATTTTTAAAAAGCAGAGCAAGGAACACACGGACGCACACAGACAGTGGACAAGCAGAAGTACAAAGGAATACAGGAGGGGACAGGGGACAGGGAGGGAGACGGCTCACTAACCTTTCTTCATTAATTCCACACATGCGGACCCTCTCATTGCTCACCCAGTTGTGAATTGTTCCATACAGGGGTGTTGCGGAGAGCATAATGTCCCCTTAAGTGCGGTCGATTTTATTCCGAGGTTGGCTCCTGTAAAAAAAAAAAAAGAGACCGACACAATCTGTGAGATTCGCTGCCCAGACTTGAGGATACAGCCGCCTGCTTCAGGCTCATCGTTGATGCTGCGTCCTTGGGCAGCACCATGCTCAGCTGGCACGTCAACGCCAAGGAGGTACCCCATCGTGACGCAACAAACTCAAAGCGGCCGGGGGTCACCGGAGATGTCCCTTCCTCTTCTGCGCACGCAAAGCACATGAAACCTCCCTCCATTTCATCCATCTCTGCACAAACGCTAAGAGCTGGGCGAGGGAAAGAGAGGGGGTGTGGAATATGGCTCAGAGAGAGGTTTTAGCACTTACCCATTTCAATGAGCGTGTGTTTAGGACTACTTATCTCCATTTGTCATCATGGGGTCACAACCTCACCCATTAAAACCATCATCTGGAGCGGGCCAAGATTCTGACACCTGCCAATCCATTTTTAGGTTGGTCCATATATAGTATGCTCCTGACAATGCTGGCTTCTGTTCTCTCTGGCATAAGTGTGCATGTACTGTAAATGATTTTACAGCACTTGTAAAACTTTGCACTTTGGGCACGACATTTGCTCGTGTAACTCAATCCCCCCCTGCCAATTTTAGCTTTTAAAGTACAGGTGACTGTCTTTATTTTTACCTGAATAAGACAGCCTACATTTTGTTTTTAATTTGCACTTCATGGTAGATAACCCCTTTTTTGTTTTCAGATCTTATTGGTTGCTGCCAATGCAACTTGCTGGTCTCCAGCCTCACTGCTTTTAAAGCGCTCCCAAGGAGAGCAACGCGTTCAAGAAAAACGAAGAACACCCAGCTCACTTTGCACTGGCAGCTATAGAACTGAACCCTACACAGTGGATCTAGGCTATACTGAAAGACAGGGTTATTTTAGTGGGGAAAAAAACGAAGGTTGGAACCAAAACTAGCTGCTTTTCTAACCAGCCGGCTAGGTCTTTAACACGGTTATGGCTACAAAATACGCGCTCTGGAGCTCTGTAGTCATTCGTTTAAGGCCACGCGAGTTTTTGAACGATTAACGGGGTATGTCACATTAGACGTGGTGTCGTTCGGGTGCCAGAAAATGCGTGGGGAATGGAACAGCGAGATGAGATTAATCTGACACACACCGACCATCACGGCTCAGCATAGCAGAGGCACGGACACCCGGGCTCCGCTCCTCCACTTCCAGCTGACACCTCATTTGGAGCGGACGTTTCATTAATCATCGCCTTGACGCGCGGGGCGCGGGCTGCCTTGTTACAGCGGGCTCAAGGTGAGGACGCGCTCCTCCACGGGCGACATCAACCCGCGCGGAGGCTGCGTCCGAACAGGCGCCATAGCGTTGAGGGACTGCCCCAGATACCGTCTTTCTTTTTTCATGCCGTTTCAATTGTACCCCAACACCTGGGGTACGAGAAGTAAACCTGCTCTGTGGAAACGGAGCTTAATGGCTGTAATTAATATATGGTGGGGGAAACGCGGGACTGGTCGAAGATCAGTAAGTGGAGGGGTTGCTCAATTCATCGAGAGATATCCCTCATCAAAACCGGTATTGGATTTAAGTACTTGCTTGCCTTTGATCCTTATACATGTCTCGCCATCAACAACGATACATAACCGATTATAATAATTAATAACCCCCCCACACACACCCACCTTCTCCCTCAGATTACATATTACACAAATTCGACTCTGCATCTTGGGGCATATCGGAAACGATGAACTTACTTGGATATCCCACTAGACAACCACATGTTTCTCTAAAAAAAAAAGCTTACTGACCTACATTACACCTTAACTCGTTCAGCTGGAGCGGTACCGGCTGACAGGACCTTCAGCCGGAACCCCGCCTCAGCCGCGCCACGAGCTCGGTGGCAGCTTTATTGATGCATGGTTTACCCTTCCTCGTGCTTCAAATTCTTTCAAACAGATTTATAGTTTCCTGAAGCTATCGCCGAGACACGCAATAACACTCAGGTGCATCCCTGACGGGAAGCGCCACGCCGCGCACCTTTGAACGCAGCCGAGGCGGTGTGTACACAACTCGGCGCAGCCGGTCCGCACCCTTCCACTGGGCTAAAAATAGTTTGTTCAACAAACAAATTAAATGGTTCTTCATCACGAACGTTTGGCACTGTGACTAACAGTAGGCAGCGCTTAGCGTGGAAACCTCTGTTTGGGTGAAACCAGAATATAATCACTTTTTAATTATAACAAGCGGTGGGTTCCTCGGCTAGGCGCGACGAGCCTTTTGCAGAACACCCCCCAGGACAATCAAAACCAACGTTAAATGAAACGATAAATGACATTTCACGACATGGCCATTTAAACTCTTAAGAGTGTTGGAAAGGTTTCAAAACACTTTAAAAGGGTAATCAAAAACAGAATACCTAAAACTGCGTCTACAAAATTCGAATGCAACTTAAGTCCTAGTGTTACTCCTCAACACCACGTTGTTTTGTAACAAGGAAATATTGTAAATACGGAATAATAAGGGTGCTTTCAAATATTTTGACCAACATTCGCATGCGTGTTTTAAATTTAACCCAAATAACAGTTGTGATATGAAAAAAAAGTAAGATTTAAGTGGGGGGAATGGTTAGTTTTCGCTTTTGGTTTCTGGCGGCTACGGTATAGAGGTGTTAATGGACTCCGTACTGTCCCACGTCCCCCCAAAAATGGACGATTAATTAACAAGACTGTTCAAATATAAATTCAACGCGTTTAACGCCGAAGCACGAGCAATAAGTAAATGCTTAGCGCAGAGCTGATGTATGGTGAGTACCCCAAAGCAAGCCGGCTGAATTTTCATTTCGCTTCCTCATCTTTGTAGCTAGTTACAAGTTTATCGCCCCGATGAACTTCGTCTGAACTGTTTCAAAGTGGAGGTCTGTTGTACAAACAGCGGCGCCACTGATAATTTTCCTGCAACCAGACTGCAGCTCGCCGGCCTCTATCTCTCTTGATCAGCGGAGGCAACAGTGTCATAAATCTCTAGATGAGGGGGGGAAAAGAATAGAGAAGAGGGGGGAGTATCCGAGTACGGTCATTTTCTGAAATGTGCCACGGTACGTGTGTGCAGCTCCTGCTTCATTTCCCTGGGACCTCTGGACTTAAACCCTCGCCGTCGCAGGCAGCTAATAACTCACTGTGTGCGCGTTCGCGACACCCCTCCTTCCACCCAAAGCCTCAGTTCTCGCCTCCCCGCCGGGATTTGAGCGCGGGTGGGGTGCGGCAGGGAGCGAGCAGACCTCAGGCATAACTCCACGCGTTGTGTGTACGGACACGTTTATTAAATTTACAGGCAAGTCATCCCACAACTGCAATCTCACGCCGAGGCATTCGGTTTTACGATCGTTATCTGTATAACGCTGCGACTCCGGGACGCTGTCGTTATACAGACGCACAATAATCGTTAAACCCTCTTTTTCCATCACCTCATTCGATGTTGGGCTGCTGTAACCATCCGAGGGCAGGGGGACTTGCGTTGCATCAAACATCCATAAAACCGCACGGAAAACATGCTCAGGTAATCAACCCCCAGAACCTGTTCCCCGTGAAGGGAATATAGTTTTAATAAGACCCCCTACCACACGCGTACAGAAACGCTTAAAACATCGAATCTGCGCAGAACATATAAAATTGACAAATTGATGTGGCACTTTGGAATTAATCCAATTAAAGGATGCACAGAAATATGGAACTACATTATAATTATATGTATTACCGACGTGATTAATTGCGTAATTATAACCAGGCAGCTGCAAGCTTGTAGCAACCGGACTGGGGCTACACCACCTCTTCCACGAAAGGCGCCGAGAATCGTAACCGTGGAGCGAAACTCCGAAAGAGTTAACGTTACTCTTGCAGGCTACTATATCCACTCCTAATCGCACAGGGCAAGGTCAACACGCCGTGAGTGATATTCATCAGGACTGAGGGCAATGACGATCAGTTCTTGTGGGGTTTATCTCGTCAGCGGAGGGGGTGCCAGTTCTGTACAGTTTTAATCAGCCGCCCGGCCGGCTCCCAAGGTGCGGAGCTTGGCACCCACGATGTGAGAATTCCTCTTAACAGGAGCGGAGGGGGGGCGAGAGAAGTCAGCTGTATCAGCTCGGGAGCTCCGTTTTGGCGCCCTCTCGCTTTCTGTCTCTGGCAGATTGCCAGCTGTATCTAGCGCTCCCAGTCTCTTAAAGCTGCAGGATGGCAGTTTTAATTTATGCATATACCCGAGGAAAAAAAAAAAGACTTAACCCGGCTTTAGAAACACAGCAGAGTGGGCTCAAGGCTATAAAATGTTGAAACTGGCGTATTTAGTTATTAACAGGTGAAATAAGGACGATATGCCAAAAATTAAAAAAAAAAGCCTGCAGTGGGATAAAGCACTTTTAGCCTGTTTCGTGAAAAATCCGGATCTAGCCGTGGATGACTGGAGCTGCCTGTTAATAGCGATAAACAATGCCTCTCACGGCACTTTCAAATCACACTGCATCGTTAAGTACGTGAATGCTCACCTACCAGCCGCGCCGCTAAGAGCTCAACCTGTTCAGAGAGACCCTTGGTAAGAGCTCGACGCTCAGACGGGCAGATAGCCGGTACTTTCCGTCGGGACAAGGGTACACCAGCTACTGAAACCGCCCCAAGGGCTGTTTGCTGGAGTTACAAGCTGAGACCGATCAAAGCATCTAGACGCCTAAACCCTCTTGCGTCAGCAACTTCAATTTCCCTTAAAAATCAATTAAGGCCAACAAAAACAGGTAGCCCACGAGGAGGGGGAGAATTTAAGCATTAGGCTAATTCGAAACCTTTTAGCAAAATGGCCGAACGCGTAGATCGTTACCCGAACCTTTAAATAGCTTTTTGATTACAGCTAGAGCGACTGAGCTTTGTATTCGACTGCTTCAATGCCTGACATCGGACTCGTGAAGGTTACGCTCTTTATGGCCTTTGAACACAGCTTTATCAGACACGCAGGGAGAGGACGAAAATCCGGATT